ATCCTGACGAAAGTATATTCGTCGTTGAGACGTAGGTCTATACAGATTCTACTCCATTGATTACATTTCGCAATTTAAGGATTGCGAGTACGAACGGACCCGACGCGACGAATGCAAATGCATTCGCGTTTCTCGGCAAAACGTGATAAAATTTGCAAGCATTGCTCTCGCCAGAACTTTGCAATTAAATACTAATCACAGCACGCCGCGAATCTAATTTCGAATTTCGGCGACGGAGGAATCGAAAAAGACGTGAACGCGAACAATCGTGCGTCGTTCCGATAATCATTCAATGATGTAATTAAAACCCGTCGATCTCTGGATGTAAAATGCGTCACGCGTTCTTTATTGATTTTTACGCATCGCGTATCGGACTATCAATTTTATTTCGCTACGCTAATGAAAAAGCATCGGCTCGTTCGGAAGGACACCAGATTTGAGCGATGGTCGAATTGTTATTTTCATTTTAAGACGACGTATTTCTCTCTATTAAATAATTAAGAGTCATATCGCTTTGTGCCTATGCTTGCTAAATACATTTCGCGCACGTGCGCACGCCGCGATCGAATTATACACATTTTATCACTGGTGTGGCGAGCGTTTAACAAATCTATCGATATTTCCGATCGCGCGATAATCGAGTTTAGCCGGAGACTAATTTTCAGTAACCGGCCGGTGGAGAATCAAGGGAGCGTTTCCCTGATAACGATAAAGCAACGCGGAGCTTTAATTATCGTACTGTCAGACACCGCTCCGCGTCCTACATGGAAATTGTATTAAGCTATTTCATCGAGACGTCATAATATCGCTCTAATCGAGTTATACCGTCTTTATGCCACGCGCGATAATGGAAAAACCGCGGAGGCGAATATCCGACGAAAAGACGTATCAATCAGCCCACGCGAGAAGGGCTTGCAAAACGCGCAGTCGTTTCACGTATAATCTCGAAACTTCCTTTCAAATTTCATTTGAGAATTAAATACTATACTTGAGAAGGAGGAGGAATCGCAATTTGATTTTCGCAAAAAAAAAAAATCTCTTCTCTCTCTCTCTCTGTCCCCAGTTTTATCGATACATTCGGCGATATCTCGGCGATTTAATCCGCCCGGACGATTACGTCGCGACGAAGAGGAGAGGGAGAAAGGAGGGGAGGGGGAGAGTACTCTCCCGCGACCGCGAGAGACGAGATTCCGCAAATTATACTGTTTAAGGAACGAGGGCGCGACCGGACCTTGCGCAACGAATACAAATTCAGAGGCAGCCGGCGCGTCCCTTCAGCGGCGCGTGACGAAATTCGTAAAGGAGTTCTCGAAGCTCCAGCCTCCATCATCTCGACCCCTGGAATAGGTGGAGGAGAACGCGGGCGATTTCCCTGCGAGAGAGAAAGAGGGAGAGCCGTTTTAGCGACAACGTGATAATATTTCTGAACTTGGTGGGCCTCGCTCTTTCTCTCGCGTGGTAGAAAAAAATTCGTTGGCCGAAAGAGCCGCCGACCTACGTCGAAACTGGTTTCGTAAGCGCCGCTTCGGCAATAAAAAGAGACAGGATGAGAAGCGGATAGGAGCGAGAGGGAGAGAGAGGCACGCAACGCGACCGCATTCAGGACGAGCGCATTTACATGTTACGTAAAATTTCGTTTGGGACCCGCAATATATACGACGCGACTCTAGCGAGAATACTCTCGTGACGCTTGCCTGGACCCGTTCGCGTCTCGATGAAAGTCCAAATGATTTTCTTCTTCGCGGATGTCGGCTACAATCTTTACATCTTCATCGCGAAAAAAAAAAAAATAATATTTTTCTCCTATATTTTACACTTGAAATTTCATTGTCAATACTAAATTTTGGCTAAATCAATGATACATTAATATTTTTGAGCTATAATCTAGTAGGGAGAATTCCCCGTTAAATTACAATGAAAAATATTAGTTACCACAGAGAGGTAAAATTGACACTTGACTTTTTAGATTTCAGGGGTAATTTAAAATTAGTTACTATATAGCTAATATTTGTTTTCCATGCCTCTATCTTGCTTTTGTATATCTTTGAAAATAAATTACATGTCAATTAGATAAAGATACATAAAGAGATTTAATCAAAATTTTAATTGCGTAACGTTATAAAAGACGAAATCGATAATATTTTTCTGAGAGAGCATCCTTTACAGAGAGTAAGAGAGATATATAGAGAGCGGAAGGGTACTCATTTATTTTTGCGTCCATTCAAAAGTTAGAAGAGGAGCAATAATTTGCAACCAACTAAAGCCGTCGCCTGAGAGGAAGGATTAAAGCATAGAAAGCCCAAGTACTCACTGTTTGAAGACAAATTTATTTATAATCACTCGTGTTAGACGCAACACAACACAACACAAACACAGAATTGTGTCAGCAGTCCCATTATCATAGATTATTTCTAATTTAAAGAGACGCGAATTTTCTTTCTCGGAGTGAGTAGCGAGACTGTAATCATTTGATCAAATTCTCATCGATTCAAGGACCCTCATAACGCACTCGCTGTCGCGCTACGCGTTATCAAAATTTGTCTCCTTTTTTCCCCCACTGTAGAGACACCGGTGTCCGACACTAGAGAACGGCGATGTAAAATATCCGATTTATCATGCGTTCGATGGCTTGTTTTAATGTATCATGTACCGACAGAAACGCTGCAAATACTGACGGACTAAAAAAAAAAGAGTGAGAGAGGTGGAACGGAGCTTTTACTCCAATTTTCAAGGATGATAGATCGTCCCCTTCCCGCTATTTGAAAATTGGAGCAAAACGAAACGTACGTTTTCTCTGTGTATTCTGCCCGGTTTTATCGCACACGCTCTCGCTTTTTTATCCGCATTACCACGCGCCGAGCGTGTTATTTCTGTCTTCGCGACTGACTCATCGACGTCTCGGAAAGAAATGACCCTTGGTCGCGATACGCTCCGGCTTTGCATGCTTATCAGTCCGCTCGGCGATGCTTTCGAAAAGAAATGTTACAGTACAGTCATAGACCGGTCTCTCTCTCTCTTTTCCTCTTCTTCCGAGAACTTTCGACAGAGACCGCCGTTTATTCCACAAATATATTGTAAATTTGATTTTGAAACTTATCGAATTTGCATAATGCGCGAAGAATCCAAGTGTTCTGGAATAAGATTTTTAGACTTTCGGTAGGTATATACATTTCAAAAAAATTTCAAGTCCAACGAGCGAGGATCTCCGACTCGATATAGTTTGAATACGAGTTTGTTGATTAGTTAATTCTTATCTTAATCGTGTTCGCGAGTTATCTCTCTCTCTCTCTCTCTCTCTCTCTCTCTCTCTGTTCCGATGCGCAAAAGGTTACTTAATATCCAACGTTCCACGTGTCTGCTTCGTCAAAATCGAGAACACAACAGAAAGCAGCGCTGGCGCGACTTCTTCCACTTAACACCACTTGTGTAAGGGCATCATTTATAAAGCTTGGCAGGCCTCTCTCGCTTCCAACATCCATGTGAATCCGCCGCATGTTTCCCTCCCTTATCCCATTCATAAAACAAGAGATATTGAAAAAGAAGCGGCGAGAGAACAATTTTTCCCTCTTGTCTTTCTCTCTTTCTCGCGCCGAGAATTCACCTGCTGATCCAAGTCGCCGTATCACGTCGTTCGCGTATATTGTGGGAGCATGTGGAGCTCATAAAACCGTATTGCGTCCAGCCGTTTCCATTAGAAGATATTTCCGTGCGCGCACGCGGATAAAAACAAATATGAATGGCGGCGACAGAGAGCCACCCGACACCGCGTCGTTTAAAAGGTTAATGTCGATACAACACAACCAACGTAATATAAATAAACACTTTGAGGACATTCTCTGCGGCCACCAGATGTTGTGTCTTTTTGGGAAATGAAGGAGAGAGATAAGGAAGAGCCTTCCTTCCGCGACGTTTCTTTTTAGTTTCCATCCGCGATTCAAACGCGCATATCCTCTCTTACTATTCAATTAAGATTATTGCTTAATTAAATGGGAGTCTCCGGGAAGTTTAGTTTCAGAACTTCTCTCACTCTCCGACGACGAACGATAAGAAGCGATATTCACGATAACATCGTTTCGCGACAAGGATCTTCTCTAGGAATGCGATGCGAAATGTGCATGCACTTGCTAAATTATTATATATAGTTTAACGCGCAAAGAGGGAGATTCGCGTGTAAAAAAGAGAATATAAATAAAAGCGGCTTCAAGGTCGCTTCGCGGAACGAAAGATGGGTTTTTACGGATTTTAGTGTTCGACAAATACAACATTTGCCGTTTTAGTTTGGTGTACGAATATGGTTTGCCGTTTAGTGGCTGGTGTATTGATGCAAAAGCCAGGCGTGTTTAGACAGCATCTACCCGGTGGAAAAAGCGAAATGGGTTTATACGCTATGTATTTTGACCGCAAAAACCGCCTGGTTTCTGCAACAATTGAAGCAACCGGTTGCGAAATTGCCTGTATTATTATTCGATCCTCTAACGAAAGAGAGAAAGAGAGAGAGAGAAATATCGAAGATCTCTCGGGCAACTGTGCGATCTTCCGCTTCTTCAATTCTGTAATTTGTATTCAAGGTAAACTGCTCTCTCGTATACAAGCTCAACTTTGAATTTTTTTCCTCCTAAACCGTCATCGTGCGCGAATTGGATTATTAATCTCGCGCCTTCTTACGTATTACAACATCTGTAACTTTCTTCTTATAAGGGAGAGGCCCTTGTATGAATTCTCCGAAAAAGAGGTACATTTCAGCACACGGCGAGTCCGTAGGTATATATAGGTATACCTTCTCGCTTAGAGGTTCTCAGAAATGTTCGAAACCACGGTTTACGGGTTCTCTCTCGTAAAAGCCGGCGAGTTGGGCGCAGTATACCTTGACTGGCCGTCGTAACCGCGTTCGCCAAAGCGGCTCTCGAAGCCGAAGGTCGAACACTTTCGAAGCGGCGAGTGGCGAGGCTCCTAGCCGGCGATCAGTGTACGAAAAGAACGGCAGAGAGGAGGATACTTACATCTTGTAGTGGTGCTGCTGCATGTGGTGGCCGACTAGGTGCATGTCGGTGACGTGTTGCTGCTGCATCTGCTGGTGCTGCTGCTGTTGCTGCTGTTGCGGCTGCAGAATACCCTGATGATGGTGAGTCTGCGGGGGGTCCAGGCTGGAGGCACCCAGCAGGGTAGCGCTCTCCCTGAACAGCGTTGCCACCTGCATCCCGGTTGCGCGTTTTTTCCCTTTTTTTTTTTAGGAAAAGCTACGCCTCGCCCTCTGGCTCTCGCCGACGATTCGAACGAGGGTAATCCTTCGAGGAACGCGAAAACGCGCTCCCTCGGGATAAAAGCTCTTTGCGAAACGTCGCCCCACGTTCCACGTTGTCCGGGATCGATACCGGGTTTCGGTAGAAGGCGATGATTATAGAACTGCGGATGGGTTCCGAGTAAAAGTCCTCTCGTCGATTACGATGATTGCGAAATGATCCTCTCTCTCTCTCGATTACACCACAGCCTCCCCGGCAAATGATATCCTTGGGTGTCTTCCGCAGACGATTGCTTATAGCAATCGCGAATAGTCGTAGGATACGCGAATATATCCAGTGTTCAACGACGGAATAATCGGAGTATAGTCATCGGCTCCGTTCGGACACGCTCTCGCTCGTGGTGTTTCGTCAACGGACAAGTATATAGCACCGTCGCTGTAAGGCCTTCACTCGAGCCCGACGGACTTTCTATCCGCGCGTCCTTGTGTCGCAAAAGAGACCTGTCCTCTCCTCGACGTCGATGCCACCGTCGCGACGATGCAGGTCGCGACTGGCGGCGCACCTGGCAGGACTCAGTCGAGACCCCGCGAGGTCGTCATCGTTGTCCTGGCTGGACGGACCGTCGGCGACGTCATCAGCATCCTTTCTTCGTGAGACCGCGCTCGCCAACCGGACCGCTTCCGCGCCGTCAGGCCGGAAGCCGCGAAAGTCTCTCTGGTTTCCCTCTTCCCTCCTCACTCGGAGTCCACTCGCGCGCGCGACCTGGCCCTCTTACACTCACACACACTCACCGCTGGACGCGTTCTCGCAACACGCGAGCCACACACGGGATCACTGGCCGCGCGGATATACGAACTTTCTTTTTTTTGCCTCGGAGTAGGAGTATCTCTCTCTCTCTCTCTCTCTCTCTCGGTTTTTTTTCTTTCTGCCCTCTCGTTTATACCATCGTCCCTTCGCCCGCAACGCGGTGCCGCCTCGAACTCGCGCACTCCGCGTCGTCTGTCATGTTCTCGCCGCGACCGCCGCGCGCACCTTTTGAATTACGCGCACCGCCCGCCGTCTCGCCGCACCACCGTCGACGCCGATGCGATGCGGTGCGGTGCGGTGCGGTGTGGTGTGGTGGTGCACCCACGCCCCGTTATAAGGGCAGCCGCGCAATATCGCGGCGTGTACGCTCTCTCGTGCAACGCGCCGGTCGTGCGAGACGCGCACGTCTTCTCCGTCGGCCTCGGCGAACTCTCGTAGGCTCCCTTCTTCTTCCTCTTCCTCGTTCGACTCTCTACCTCGCGGCGGCGGTGCCTCGTGATGCGATACACGTCACGAGCGAGGCGGACGTAAAGCGTTGCGCGATGATTCTCTCTCCTCGAGAGAGACGTGCTCGGAGCACTCGCGTTCCTGGGAGTTCACCACCTTCTCTCGTCGTTTCTCTTTCGAGCTCTATGCCCTCCTGCCCTCCGCGGCGCAAACTCTCCTTCTATCTCTCTATCTCTCTCTCTCTCGTCGTGTAAACACGCGCACACACACACACCGCGGAATCTGCAACCGCGGCAGCAAGGGTCGACACCGCACTGCTCTTCGTAGCGCTCGCTTTGCCGTTCGAGCTAACGCGCTCGTACGTTTCCGTCGTTCCTCGACGATGCTCGACCACGTTCGGGTTTCGAAGCCTCACGGTGACGGCATAGAGGCAGCGCGGCAGAGGTGGAAGTGGTCCGGCGCAGTCTGTCCTTCGCCGCCTCGCACTCGCACCGCACTCCGTTCTGGTCTCCCTCTCCTTTTCCCTCTCTCGCTTCCTTCCTCCCCTTCCTCTTCTCCTTCTCTCTCTTTTGCGTGTTGTCGACTACTTCGTTCTACCATTGGATACCTTCTCCTTCCCTTCCTTTTCCCTGTCTCGCTCCTTCCCGAATGAACACGTTTCTATTTCTTTCTCTCTCTCTGTCCCTCCCTCTCATCCCGCACTTTCGCCCCCTCTCTCTCTCTCTCCGTCGCACTTTGCCTTCCTCCTACACCCCCGCTGTTTCCTCCCCCCGTTCTCCTCCTCACTCCTCTTCCCGTCTTTCTTCTTCTTTTTCTTGCTCGTGCATCTCTCGTTCTTTCTGTATCCTCCATTTTTGTCTCTCCTCTTCACGACTGTCCTCGTCTCGCACTCGCGACCAAGGATAGCCGTCGAAGCTCGACAGGGCTAATCGATCGCCGGCAATCAATAGTAAATCGGGGCACGCGCCACCACGATCGATTGAGATAGATCGATCGTAGCGCGATCGTTACTCGGCCGACCGACCTGCGGCTACATCGGCCGCATCGGCGATAAGGCACACCATCTCTCGCAAGAGAGAGAGAGAGAGAGAGAGAGAAGGGAGGGAGAGCGAGAGACGTATAACGGTCACTCTCTCTCTACGCGCAGCAGCCACGAAGACCGGCCGAATTTACAGCGCGGGTCGTACGTCCTTTCCACCTATGGACCGAGGACATTATGCAAATGAGCGCGCGAGAGCGCGGCGAGATTGTATTTGCGAGAGAGGATGTCGCAACGGCAAATTCTTGAAGATGTGACAAGGGGACGGACTCTCGCGCTCACATATTTACGTAGGTGATCTTTTTTTAGATCCCCATCTTCGTCGTCGTCGTCGTCGATACGTCTTACGCCGTGCTCCGTAATCCACTGACGGTGCTGACAGCAACGGCGGCCGTAAATACGGCTTTTCATGCCTTCCGAAATACATTACTACTGTCTGTGATGTATAATGGAACGATTCTTAGTTAGGCACACTTGGCTCTCGATTCAGCCACTCGGCTCAACTACATGTGTTAAAGTTACGGACAGTTATACCGCGGCGGAAAGTTTACGACAAGTATGTACGTAGATCGGGGGAAGGGTTATATAGTTGTTGTAGAGAAGACTCTCTTGTATATACATATGTAGAAAAGACGAGGGTTGTAAATATTACAGATAGTTGACGACGAGTTTGGATTCGGAGCGATGCATTCTTAACTACGCTTAACTGAAAATACTTTTGCGAGGTCAACGTATTCCAAGGCTTCGCGAAATTATATATCAATGATGCTGCGCTGCGTTTTGGGATGTCAACATCATTTAGTCAGAGATGCCTGAGACGGAAGTCGGTGGTTTCACTCGAGAAGTCGATTTAGGTGCGAAAGCAGTTTACGACAACGCGCTCGAAATTTATTTCAAGGTGGAACGGCAATAGAATACCTATTATATAGGTTTTGTCTGTTTAGCTACGCTTTCTCAGACTTTCGAGCTTTCATTCTAAGCACAGCCCTCTCTTTCCTCGTATATAGTATGAGATTTTGACATATAGACTCGGAAAATAATCAATCGCGTAACAGCGGCTCATTATTTCTACGCAATTAATCGAATAATGTTGCGCGAGAGAAGAGCTCGAGTTTGATCTTGAATTTCTCCGTTGATGGAAATTAATTGAGAATTAGAGCGAGATAAGCGTATACGTTGAAGCTTCGAAGGGGGCAAACTAAATACAAGATGTACGACTAAAACAGGCGGATCCAGTGGGTTACTGGACATATATATATATATCTATATATCTATATACGCAATATATGTATAGCGAAACCTATATTTTCCGTACGCTTTCATTATCCTTCGCGATGTATATAATCCCGACGATGCCGATAAACAATTAACGAGCGCGGTATTAATCGTGGTCGGGGTTCATCGTCGTCGTCGTCGATTGCGCCGATCGATCGCGAGAAAACGAGCTGTAAATTATTATTCCCTCAAAGTTGATTTCCGATTCCGTTCCGCGGGAACACACGACGGCGGGTACCCTCGTGTGTAACCCAAAATAAACCCGGTGTACGTACCTCTCTCTCTCTCTTTTGCGCGCGCGCACTCGCACACGCGGTTGGCAAACGGGGATGAGGCTCCGAAAAAAAAAAAAAAAAAAAAAGAAAAGAAAAAAAGAAGGAAGAAAGGCCACACGAAAATATATCGGACGGTCCAGCTCTCGCGGTCACGCGATCGATCTCTCGCGGGGTGCGCTTTTCCCGCGCCTCCCCTTTTCCACCCCCTATCCCCCTTTTCGGTCTTATTATTAATCGATTCGAATTATCGATCCCAGTCATCGTCGCCGTCGTGTCCGCCCGACACCGGTCCGCCTCTATATTCTGCTCTCTGCCTGGATGCACGAACGTCGCCCGCCATAGTGTTGCGCCGCTCGCCATCGCGCGTGCGTGTGCGTGAGCGTGTATACCCATATGCGTGTACACGTCCGTGTAAAAATGTAGGTGTAGGTGCGGATCGGTGTGCTCGAACGCGCATGTGTTGTGTGCAATCCGACCACGAGGATGTGTTGCGGGAGAAAGAAAGAGAGAGAGAGAGAGGAACCCTGTATGTGTATACGTATGTGAGCATGTGCGTGTGTGTGTGTGCGCGCGCGCGCGCGCACGTGCGTGTACATGACAGGGTGTGAGTGCATGCGGTGACCCTGCCGGGTGGGTGGAAAACCAGGGACGTACGTAGAGAATGCACCGAGAAAGAGACGGCACGCGTCTCTCGAATCTGCGCTCTTATTTTTCCGTCACGTCGGACTGGCTTTTTTTGCATAACGCCTCGTGATACTTTTGATATATACGGCGTCTTGCCGACGTGGTTTTCCGCGCGCGCTTGTTGCTCGCCCTCTTGCGCTTTCACCCTCGTGCGTCGTAAACAAAAACCCCCGAGTTCTTTGCGGTCTCGCCGTGCAGTTTTTCACGCTTGTTTTCCCACCCCAGGTTCAACCCCATCTTCAGCCTGCATGTACCTGCGTTTCGCTTCGAGCACGAGAAGTGTAAAAAGTTTAGCTAAACAGGAGAATGGACATCGCGTTTCGCCGAGGTTTGTTGACTTTTTTCTCGGGGACTCTCTTTCTTTGGCCAAAATAACATATCCACTTGTACACATTTATCCTTTCGTCCCTTTAATATCTGGACGGATTCTTCCAATCGAATTGTGATATGTATTATCTTATATTATCTTATAATATGACGCAACATAGTTTTCTTTCCCAGAATAGATAAAGATAACAGAATAGATACTCGAAATATCACGTAGCTTCATCGTTCGAAGACATTAGTCATCCTGTTATCGTTGCTAAACGCATGACTGTTCGATTGCTTTGCAGCTAGAGGCAGAAGAATCGTCGTTCCTCGCTAAATTTCGCGCTAAATTTCACCGGCAGAATTTTTCGAACACTCTTCTGGAAATCGCGGCGAGTTTCTCCCTTTGAAAGGTGTCAAAGCCAAAACCTCTCGACACGTTCCTGCTGCCCGAAGCGACTCTCTCGTCCGTGTGTGCATTTGCGTGTGCGTGTGTGCGCTGCCAGGTTGCCACGAGAGAAGGGAACGAGAGGACGAAGGGATGGCGAGAGAGAGAGACGAGGGATATAACGGTTAGGGGGTTCGGGAGAGGAAGGAGAGGTTCATGCGTGGGAGAAGAGAAAGGGATCGAGAGAGATCCACCGGGGCTCTGTGTATAGAAAAGAGTACGCGTTTGAGAGAGAAGAGGCGCATCGTCGCTTCCTCGCAAACCGGGAGGGAGAAAGAGAGAGAGGGAGAAAATCCAGGGGGATGAAGAGGGGTGAAGAGGGCTAAGACTGGCGCGAGAGCAAGAGGGATTACGTCGGTGGAACGAGGACAGCGCGATATATACCGTCGAAGCTCTCTCACGCACACATTCACCGGGCCGTCAAGCTCGCGCACAGACTCTGGCAGAGACTCCCACCACGAACTTTCGGAAAAATCAATAGAATACAAGAAAAGCCCATGGTGCGTCAGGCGAATCGGAGCCCTCTCTCACTCTCTCTCTCGCGCGCGCGCGCGCGGTATCCGTGTTTGCCCCGTGACAAAGAGAGGGTAAGCTCGCGTGTATACACTGGCGATCGACGGAGATAGGCGGTATGCGTGCACGCACGACGGCCAAGGACGGAGATAAGGTCGGACGAGAGAGAGAGGGATGGTTGAGAGGAGCGAGTGCATGTGTGAGTGAGACTCTCCGAGCGTGTCCGATAGCACTCGAGCAAGTTGAAGGGAGAGAGAGAGAGAGAGAGAGACGTGCTAGAAACGCGTTTTGGTGGAACGAAGACGGCGAGAGAGAAAAATGCGCTCGTGTGCGCGCAAGCTTAACAGATGAGGTAGTCGGAAAGAGAGAGAACTCGTTGTGCGGAGGAAGGAAGATGAAGAGACTCGTGGGCATGTGCGACTGTGCGTATACCTCAGACGCACATAAGTCTCGTCGTTATAGGCCGAAAGAGAGAGTGCGCGTGTTTGTATGTGTATGTATGTATGAAAGAGAGAGAGAGAGAGGGATGTGTGGTTGTCCGTATACGAGCACATGTGAGAGGAAGATGGGAAAATACGCTGTTCGGCCGAGCTAGCCCGAGAGGTTACGTGGGTTCGTTAATGGGCAAGAGACGAAGAGCAGCATGCAACGAGATGCATTGGAGGAAGGAAAGAGAGGGAGAAAGAGAACTCTGCGCGCGCGAACATACCTCGTTCGTGTTGGAGCACCGAGCAGAAGATTTGCACGGTTCAACAAACGCCTCTCTCTCGCTTATGTGTACGTACAAAACTATGTATGAATCTCCTGGGGGTAAATCGCACGTGTACATGGAACGGTGCGTATCCTGCATGTATATATATATATATATATATATATATATATATATATATATACATATATACATATATACATACATATAATATATATTAT